CTTTTTCACACTTGTTTGGATGATGGGGCACACGTTTCCACACTTGTCTGGATGACAGGAGCGCACATCTCTGAGCAGTGGCTGTTCAGGTCTCCCTGAGCCTTAGGATTAAGGGCAGCCCTCGAGGCCACTGCCGAGCGGTGCCAGTGAGGATGTGGGAGACAGTCATGTACATACAAACCCTGTTCTGGCTTCCTCTGTGCCTCTTCCCTCAGCCAGGGTGACTGCAGGGAAGGTCTGATAAGTTCATTTAGGCTCTTGATACAACATGTATTTTGGGATCAAAAGCCACATGTTTCCAAAAGAGATAAAAACCTCTGCTTGCCTCGACGCCAGTGACACTGGACAAAGACAGGGTAGGCAATTCCACCAAGGAACTGCTCTGGTGGGAAGAGAGCTCAACCACCTCTCCTTCCTGTTAACCCTACCAAACCCCCAGTTTCTGCTTCCCAGGTTCAGGTTCTATTTCACACCCTCAGGCCCACAGTGCCTATCACACGTGACATTTCCCCGACCGCTTTAGAAAGCGCAGTGTGAGGCCGGCTCCACGGTAGTACTGGATTTTGCCCCAGGAAGAAAGGGCGGACTGGCCCCTCCCTGGCCTCAGGGCTCCTGGGTGCCCCCAGGGTATGCTTCTTGACCACGCTGTGAGTGTGGTCTTCCCTGAGATCCCCACTGTGGGCCTATCCGGGCTTCTGCTCTACCCCACCCCCAACTGCCAGCTCTACTTCCTTCAGAGCAGGTGCTCTGTGAAAAGATTCGCAGAACAGATGGATGGATAGATGGTCCAATGCTGAAAGATGTTTGCACAGAGTGCGGAGCTTCCCAGCATTCCCTTTGGAGTGTGTTACCTAATGTGACCTCGCTCAGGAGCCTGTGATGGAGGGGTCACATACCAACAGCCCGTATGGATCTCGGTCTCTGAGGTCTCCGCTGGCCCTGGTTCTGCTGAGATTCCAGGGACCCTCTATCTGCTTCCCTGACCTTTTGGCTCCTACTTTCCACACATCTCCCTTAGGTGGGTATCCCACCCATCCTTCCTGAACAGGAGGCCCGTCCAACAAAGACCCCAGACTTAGAAGTTTCTAGTTCCCTCATCCACACGGGCAGGAGTCCCCAGGTTTTCTCCCACTGCCGAGCCCTCCCTGCCTGAGATAATCACTTGCTACAAATTCTGTACCAGGCAGGTACTCATCCTGTGCCCTCTTCTCCCAGGCTCCCAGGCTCTTATGCCATATTTTCTTCCCGATTCTCTAGCCCTCAACTGATGTCTCCTCCCCCCCCCCCGTCCCTGTCCCGATCCTCATCTATATTCCCTTTCTAGCCCCCAGCCCCAGCCCTGTGTTCTCTGCCCCACCTCCGTATTCCATTCTCTCCTCACCACCCTGGCTGAGGACACTTGTTCCAGTCCTTGTCCCCACTGCCCATACCCTCTCCTCCTGGTCCCTATCTCACTACGTCTCTCACTGGTTCCTGGACCCTTGGTCCCACTTTCCATGCCAGGAGCGTCTGTCTCTTCCCTTCAGGTTGCTCCTAGGCTCTCCCTCTACCGAGTTGGCAACTTCTAAGAGTCCTTGGAAAAAGGGGCTTTCAGGTTGGTCTTCCCTGGGAGCTGTTACTCATTACCGAGCAGTCCCCTCCCACCCTTGGTCTGTCCCTTGTGACTTTATGTTTGTTGCATATCAGTTTACATCTTCTCAAGTAGAATTACAACATCCCCCATGCGAACAAACAAACAGTAGATGCCCGCAACCGAGGAGACCAACTTTAAACGTAATCAATTATTAAGATGCATTTCTGATACCCATTAATCACCAAACACTGGTATCAAAGATGGGGCTGTTGGTTTGCCACTTTAATGAGAAGAGATTTATAGAGAACGCTGAGGAACAAAAGCTAAGCACTTTAAATGCTTCCTTATCACTTAATACAGATGGGAGTACATTCCCATGCTACGGTGCAGTGAGGCTGGGATCTTCCCTCAAGCTCTGGCTCACATTCTGGAGCTGCAGGCGGTGTCCTTGCTTTACCACAGCAGCGCACCTTGTATGACACCCAGAGTACTTTCTCCAACACCAGCGTGGCGAGAAAGGAGCTGCTCTTCAAACCCTGGGCTGTTATTACTCCCTGTGCCCAGACTTAAATTGTCTTACCCACACCAAACCAAACTATGCCCAGCTCTTGAGGACTCACAAATCAGCCGCCGTGATTCTACAGAAGCCCCCTTGACAGTCATCTTCTATTCGTTTATGTAATATTCAAGGATGTAATTATAATAAGGACAACTGACATAAACAGGCTTGGGACAAACACAGCTGACGCACGGGGCGGGAAGACAAATGCTCCGGGGTGCTGGAGGACTACCCACCATCCTGGAAAGGCACGCTTTCCAGGGAGAACGGAGAGCTCCCGTCCACTCGGGGAGCAGATGGCAAAGGGGAGAGAAGGCTCCGCTCACCAGTTTCAATAAGGCTTGCAAATGATTTTGC